AACACAAATATAAAAAAACACACACACAAAAAAATATATACACAAAAAATTTTATATATAAAAAAATATAATATATATAAAAAAATATAAAATTTTAAAAAAATATAAAAAAAAACCAAAAATAATAAAACCCCTTAAAAAATTTTTTTAATAATAATAAAAAGAACTTTAAAAAATTTTAAAATTAAAAAAAAACCCAAATAATTAAAAAAAATTTGTTACCGTGTTTTAAAAATAAAATGAAAAATATAAACGTAAAAGAATAATGGTAACGTAATAACTCTGTCAGAGCCTTTGTTGTGTGGTTTGAATGTTGTTTCTCTTACTCTAATATCAACACCCTTACTTTCCTCTCTATCCTTTTCTCCTTAAAGCATCTTTAATGAAGCTTATATATATATATATATATATATATATATATATATATCACTGTTGCACAATATGTGGACTTGTAGGCAGGTCACTAGCAAGACACAAACATAAAAACTGAATGAGATTGTTGAATCCTCATGTGTCAAAATCAACGGGAGGGCCCATAATTATACACATGTCCACACACATTTTATATATGCTGTAACCTTATTCATCCAGACACTTTCTATAAACACAAAACTAATTAACACGTAAAATATCTTAGGTGGAAAAGCAAACTTTAAATTTATATTAGGAAAAAAAAACAAAAAAAAACACCCTATTGAACAGAACACGTAGTCAATTAAAATAAGCTACATTTTCAATAATTGTTCGATATAATAAAGAGAAAGGATATGCCAACTAAACAGAAGAAAGGAAAGGCTGAGTAAAATAAGTCAACAGGTTGAGAGACTTCATTTTGTTTCAGTGGGAATAAAAAAAAACAAAGAAGAAAACCATTCACTGGCCAAAAGCAGAAAAGGTGTTCACATGCAAAATTTTTTTTTTTTGAAACATTGGTCAGCCAAGTCTTTAAATATAACAAAGGATTCTTTTTATTTATTTCCAACTTTAAAAAGCTAATGCTGAACGGGGTGTTAAGGAAAAAAAAAAAAAAAAAAAAACATGCTAACATTGAATGGGAGGAAAAAAACACTAGCACTGATGGGAAGAAAATGCTAACATTGAATAGGGGAAGAGGCAAAAAGGCACAAACAGAATGGGGGGAGAGAGAGAAAGAATGGAGGGGAAGAGAAAAAACGCTCACACTGAATGGAGGGGGAGGGGGAGAGAAAACAACGCTACACTGAATGGAGGGAAGGGGGAGAAAACAACGCCACACACTGAATGGAGGGGAGGGGGAGAAAACAACGCCACATGAATGGAGGGGAGGGGGAAAAAAAACAAACGCTTCAGAATGGAGGGGGAGGGGAGAAAAAAACAACGCCACACTGAATGGAGGGGAGGGGAGAAAAAAAAACGCCACACTGAATGGAGGGGAGGGGAGAGAAAAACAACGTCACACTTTTTGGAGGGGAGGGGAGAAAAACAACGCACACTGAATGGAGGGGAAGGGAGAGAAAAAAACATAACACTGAATGGAGGGGAGAGAAAACAACGCCAAACTGAATGGAGGGGAGAGAAAAACAACGCCACACTGAATGGAGGGGGAGAGAAAACAACGCTCACACTGAATGGAGGGGGGGAAAAAAAAAAAAAAAACACTGAATGGAGGGGGGAGAGAAAACAACGCCACACTGAATGGAGGGGGGAGAAACAACGATACAATGAATGGGAGAAAACAACGCTCACACTGAATGGAAACAAGAGAAAAAATGCCACACTGAATGGAGGGGGAGAAAAAAAACGCCACACTGAATGGAGGGGGGCAAAAAAAAAGAAGAGGACAAATGTCAGAAAGAATGAAATTATAAGAAGACATGCTTTTTTTTTTTTTTTTTTTTAAAAACATTTTTTTTTGAAATAAATTGATACGAAAATAAAGCCTGCAACCTGAAGTAAAATTAGCCAACAAACATTGACAAAATTCAAGCAGCTTAAGGTAGACCAAGAAATAATTTGAAGGAATCAGTACAAATTAATAAATTTGTTATGAAGTTTGATCAACAACTTGATCCATGTCTAGAGAAATCCAGCAACTGTTAATTGTCATTACAATTTCCGAAGACTAAATCATGAGAATCCCTGTGAACGCTATGCATTATCCACAGATGAGAGGAGGTTAAGGTAGAGCAACATTTAGAATAAATTTACATTTTCACAGTAGACAAACCAGCAGACCAAAATATTCATCAAACAAGGTTTTATTAAACTGATATTATTTTCTTTATTGTAAATCTTTTTATAAAAGAATTTGAATTTGAACCCTACCACCCAGAAACCATCAATAGATCTGATGTTATTACCATAAAAAATTTCACTGATCATGCAAGGCTGAAGATATTCATAGAGATTTTTATTAAAAAATATATCTTATATATACATATATAGTGGTGCATTGTGGATGGTCTATTTTGGTACACAGTTCTAACCATGCCTATTTAGCTGAACTTAAATCATCGTTTACTGTCTTTTTTTTTTATTTGGGTTATTTATTATTTTGCTTAAGAGTTTTATTTAAATCAAGAGAAGAAAATTTATCTTATATATTTATTTATGTTTTATTTTTTAAATTTATTTTTAGGCTTTTTTGCATTTGTGTTTATAAAACAAAAATACAAAAGAACTTTGTTTAACAGTTTTGGTTTGGGAAGATAATTAAATATATATTTATTCAATTTTGGGGTTGATTGTTGTAGTTTATTCTAACTATTATTTTGGCAGGAACAGTTTTTAATTTGTTTATTACTTCATGTATTTATTTGGATTGATTATCTTTATTTGTTTTTTTTATAACGGTTAATTTTATCAGGATCTTTTAAAATTTGTTTGTTTTTATTTATTTATTTGGATGAATTTAGATTAATTTATTTTACTTGTTTTTTATTATTTATTTATTATACTGTATTTTTTTATTTTCTTTTTTTCGATTTTTTAAGTAACGTATTATTTTTTTTATCGTTATATAACAGTTATATATTTTTTTCGTCCGATTTTTGGTTTGATTTTTTTTAGTCTATCAACTAAATATTTTTTGGTCATAATGGTTTTTAATTAATTTGTTTATTATTTACTTTATTTATTTGGGTTCATTGATTTTGTTTTTTATTTATTTATTCTTTTTCTATTCTAACAGGTATAATTTGGTAATTTGTTTATTCAAAATTTATTTTACTTATTTTTATTGTCATTTTGTTTTTTATTTTTTATTTTATTTTATTTATATATTCGATTTTTTTCATGTTTATTTTGAGATATTTCAGAACATTGTTAATAATTTATTTTGTCTGGGAATTCGTAACAAGATTTTTATCCCTTGAAATTTATTTTTTTTATTCAAAAACATCGCTGATTTGTAATTTTTTTTTCCAAGATATTTTGGTAATGTTGGTTTCTTTTTTAAAATCACATATATATTAAAACAAAATGTAAACTAAGTGTTTGGTAGAAAAAACGTTACCTATGTTTCATAAAATTTTTTATGATTTATATGTAAACCTAATAAATCAGTAACGTAACTTGACATTATTGGAAAATTCATCTTACCCAAAAACAAATTGATTTTTTCGAAATATCTCTTGTTATATAATAAATATATCATATGGATTTGAATATACATAACTAATAAATAATATGTAATAATATTTTCTAAATCAATATATATTTATATTTATACACACACTCATTCGTTGCATTTTTTTCTTATAACATATGCTTTTCAGTTGTTTAAATTTACCAAAACATACTAAAATAAAACAAACAGTAAAATGAAGTCCTAATCATGAATCACAAAAAACATTTTCCAACTTTCTTTTAAAACCAGAAATAAATATATATATATATATTATTTATGTTTTACTTATATATTTAAATATAACATCAATATCTAATTGTTTTCTTTTTTAATCAAAATTGGAGCATTAAATATACACACTGTTAAAATAAGGTATATAGACAGCAAAATTTTACTATTTTTTTATATAAATATATAAATAGACTAATTATCTTAATAAAAATATATACATTTTATTCAAAAAACAAAAAGAACATCCCGAATAATTTTGTATTTCTATAGCTGCCATGTCACTATCTTGTATAAAACCACTTTGACAATTTAATTTTACTGGTGTTGTTTAGAAAAACAAACATTGAAAAGAAGAAAAAACAAATAAAAAAAATTTACAGTAATGCCAATTTTTCCTAATGAAACTTGTGTAATGTATATATATATATATATATATATATATATATATATTTATATTTACATTAGAAATATGTGCTCTTTTGAAAATACTAATTTTTCCTTATCTTACAAGGCCCATAATTTTAATTGTAAATCCATAAGACTAAAAAACATTTTATAACTCAATTTTCTTGAATTCAAAAAAATTCTCTAATTGTCATAAAAAAATAAATAATATTCAATATAAATTATTTAACATATATTTAATTTATTTAATTTATATACATATAATTTATATAAATATATCTATTCATATCGGCTTTATATCATATATATGTATTATTATAACTCCATAAACATATTTTAATTTTTTATATTTTTTTAAGTATTTGCACATGTCACAATAACAGAATCCATAACAACTAAATATAGTACATATCTTATTATTTTAAAAATACTTTTTAAGTTTAATGGAACTTTCTGATTTTCACCATAAATCACAAACGAATATTGCTAATTAATTCTTTGTATTAAAACAATGGTTTATTTTTGAGATATATATATATATATATATCATATATAATATTTTTTTTTCTTGATTCTAACTTTAAGGGATTCTATAAAATTTAAAATTTCATTTCGTGTTTTTTTCAAATTTCAAAAATCTCATGCATTTTAAAATTCTTTAACACCCAAACTTTTTTTTATATATTTATCTAAAATTTTTTTTCTAATTTGTTTCTTTTTTCTTTTACTTATTTTTCCATCTAATATTTTCAAAATTTTTTGGAATTATTGAAAAAAAAAAAACCCTAAATTTCTCACATGGATTTTACATGAACATCCAAGTAATCCAAAATAATCCATTGGGACATTTCCAAACAAGTGAATCCCCAATATTGTTTTTTTCGAAAATTCAACAAAAATGCTGGTCCTTGTTTCCCTGAAAATTTCCTGAACTAGTTTTCGATTTTTTTAATTTTCATATTTGAACCTATTCTTTATCCTGTCAGAAAGCGAATGTTCAAATATTTGACCATGTCTATAATTTATTATATATATATAAATATATATATATATATATATATTTATAAATAATAAAACTCGGAATGTACCTCAAGTTGACACATTTGAATTGTCATACGTCATATTTAATTATATAAATATTGTATTTCATATATAAATGTTAATATATATATTTATTATTAATAGTATATATATAATATATTTATGAATAAATTTATGGTTTTCCAGCATTCATTCTTTAAATTGAAAAATCTAAAACAGGGAGTTAAATGTAAATAAAATATTTTGTAAATTTTTTTTATTTTTTCAGAAAATAGAACTAGTAGGTTTATTTAAAACAATTCATCAGGGGCAAATGTATGTTTTCATTTTTTAATCCCTTTATTTATATAAATATATATAGAATGGCTAATATAATATATATAAGAACAAAAATGACAATCATATATTTAATAAATTGTCCACCAAAGAATATTTGTCTTTAATGAATTTGTTCATTTTCAATCCCGGTTCAATTTATAAAATTTAGATTTTTAAAATCCTCAAAACATTTGGGGAGAACTTATATTTAAATAAAATTCCTTCAATTTACACTATTTATAATCAGACTATTGTCCTTTGCTTTGTTGTTAGGAACGATTTTTCCTTTATTCACCAATATTTACAATGAGGAGCATATCATTCTTTATTGTTATTTATAAAAGACTATTGTCCTCTCCACAAATTTTTAATCTGATTTTCATTTCTGAATTCAATAAGGGATAGACGTTCAATTTTACATGATTTCAATAACTACTCCCATTTTTGTTGATTTTAATACTATTTGTTAACTTTGGTAGATATTTTCAATGAGAAGTGTCATTATGTTATCTGTTTATTTATATTCAGACTATTGTTCTCTTTCTGTTGTTATTATAATCTGAACATGTTTATGAACCTTCATGCCTTAGGATTTTATACCAAAAATGTATATATATATTGATATTAAAATTATTGACATTTCTATAATTTAAATAATATGTCCTTCAATTTTGATTTTGATTTAAATTAAATTTTGTATGCATTTATTAAATGTTTCCATTATTATTCAAATTCAAAATAGTATCCAAAATTGAAATAATTTTGATTAAGAAATAATATTTGCTTAAACAAAAATATAATGGATCTTTTTAAATTTAATATTAATGGAACAGGCCAGGATTTTTGATTTTTTTTTTTTTTCTAAATTTTTTATTTCATTAATTAATAGGATTTCCAAAAAATAATGCTATTTTTTTTCTTTGGAAGTTAAATTAAAATCAATTTTTTTATTTCATTAAAAGGATGGGGGGGTTCCAAAGGCAAAAAATAAATAATTTTAAATTGTTGAATCTTTTTTTAATAATTTATTATCCGGGGTTCGAAATAAAAAAAAATGTTAAGAAATTTTAATTTAATATGCTATATTGATGAATATAACTTTATTTTTCTACAATACTTTTTTTTTTATTAGATTCAATGGAGTTCCCAAATTG